AATTTGATGAGCCCTAGATGGAGAAAGTTTGGCGCAAATTAAGGGTTGTCTCAATTTCAACAACGGAGATGTTTCTCTTCTAACTCCCGCGCTGAAATGAACTCTGCGTCCCAGGAGGTGGAGCCAAGTCTCAACTTCTGGTGAACGAACTATAGCATTCTTTGGAAGACGAAAAAGTTGCTTTCTTTTCTTCTGTTTTACCAGGGTTGGCTATTCTTAACAAACAATTTCTTTAACACTCAGGCGGTTTAGCAAATGAGCAAAATCGGGTGCCTGTTTTGCACCTACGCACTATTTCCCTATCTAATAACATAGAAAGACTGGTTTTTGCTATGCAGAGAAAATTATATGTTAAAATCCGATTTTATTTTTTTTTCTTACTCTCTGAGAACCGTCAGTGGTTTAAACTGTAATTTCTCGTTTTGTACTCAGACGGAAAGATTCACTGCCTAGGCAAATGTTTTCGGACACCCAGTATGGACTCGAGGAGAATCTTGACCCATGTGTTAATATGATATTGAATATTGATACCTTTCCTTTTCGCATCGATGACAGCCTAAACACACATTCCACAAGTACTTGATACATGGCCACAGGAATTAACTTCCAGCCATCCATAATAACTGAAATGAATGCTTGCAGTGAGGGTGAGTGATCAATTTGGCCGATCTGCGTTTGAATTTCTACCAAAAATGTTCGAAAAGATTTAGATTGGGACTGTAGAAGGCCAATCAGTTTTTGAACACCTATTTTGTCCAACAATGACATGCGCAAGTATGTGTGAATGTAGCAGTTATCCTACTTTGAGAAAAATGAGTCTTCGCCGAAATATTGCCACAAATTTGGAAAAACATCATTATTCAGAGTTATTAACATCTCAGAGTTCATGTTTCTAACAACAAGAATTAAGGAAACATGGCCAAACCTTGAAAAACAATTCCAAATCATTCTGTTTATGGGAGTGTTCGAATACTTTTGGATAGTTTATTCAGACAAGAGACACGATGTTTTTCAATTTTATCATTATGAACTTGATTTATACTAATGATTAATTGTTTTCTTCTAGGCTTACAGAGAGACTTCGCATCAAATTGACGGACAACGCACTTGCGAGAGATCTGTTTCCAGACGATTACCACTGCCTCTGTGATAGTGAGAACAGACCCATCAAATGGCTTTCCATTGAGAGCATCGTCAAGAACGAATACACCTACTCCACGGACGTGGTCAGTAAAGACTTGCTTTTTCATATCTTAATAGAATTAAGAAAAATTTAAACTCTTATCTTTCTTTTTAATTTTTTTCCTGCTTTTTGCGTAGGAGGAATTAAAAAGGTACAAAAAAAAGCAGATCTATGATATTTTTCGCAAACAATAAAAAATTCCTTACCTGACAGCAAAAATTAGAAACAAAATGTTTATCTCACCGCTAAAATTAAATTGAAGTCATTATTAAAAAAAGTAGTTTATAGTAAAGAATTACTTTTGATTTTAAATCACACACACATTCTTAACGGTTCGAAAGAGTGATCTGTCAATTAATTAGTGCAGATGATATTTAAAAAAAGTCCTGTCCTTTGATTTCTCTAGAAAAATTCGACCGATTTTCCTTAAACTTTGTATTTTGCCATGTAAAATATCATATTCCTTAAAATAATGTATACTTAACAATTAAAAATTTCTTGACTGTTATTAAACAGAATAATAAATAATTACTGCAAGTTATTCTTTGCATCGGATTATCCTTAGATTAACGAAGTTTATAACTGGGTGCAAAAATGTTTGGATTTGCTAAAAAAAGCTCACGAGGTTTGGCGAAATACGTAAAAAGAAAAATTAACAGTATGGGATCTAAACTTTGGTCAGCTCTCCAGATCAAACAATTGAGACCATATTTTCCAAATAGCGGCTACACCCTATATATTAGGGGTCAGAATTTCGAATCCATCATGAAAATGTATGTTTATAACATGGAAAGTACGTTTTTGTGTCCAATTTCGTAGCTTCAAATATCGTCAGCACTAATTAATTAGCACAATTGAAGTCAACCCCTTTAAACCATTAAGATTGAATCATAAAACGTGAAATCCCAATCATTAGATCAAAAGTTATTCAGGGTGGCCCGTTTTTTTTCTTCTTTTGCGCACTGTACCCATCAAAATGGTATTACTTAGAAGAAACTATCGGTAGGACAGGATTATAGGTGTAAATTATGTTTTACATTCTTATGAAATTAACACATTAGGACATAATAAAGCAAGAAAGAGTCTCAACTACTATATTGAGCGTAAATTATTTGCTTGCGAGTTCTTTTTCAATGTTTATCTGTGATGGTTGTATCTGTTGCACAATTTCAACGAGTTACAAGATCAATAAATGATGGTATTATGTGATCATTGCAGTGGGCCTATGGAGTTACAATGTGGGAACTGATAACACTGGGACAGCAGCCGTACTTATCAGTAGATGCATTTGAAATGTACTCAGCTCTGATAGATGGTTATAGATTAGACCAACCGAAAAACTGCCCTGATGATCTGTAAGTATAAGTCATCTTTTAATTTGATATTACTAAGCTTTAAAAATAATTGGAATAATGATGTTTTTATAATCTGCATTGTAAAATTATTGCATATTTTTTGTTAATATCGAATTATAGTATTCTTCTTCCCATTCCACAATCCTTATTTTCTCAAAGAGATCAGTCGAATTCTAAAAAGTATGTTATAACAATGCATGCAGGAAATACTAATTCCATTTGAGTTCGCGCGGTGTTTCGTGATTACTATATTTTATATTTTTAGACCCTTACTATATTTTTAGAATACTTCATATATAGAATAATGCCTGTTTAGAATGATATATATTTAGAATTATAGGATTGGGGAACAAATTTTTGCTACATATAACTTGATCTTGCCTAATTCGGAAGTGGGGATTTCATCTCTGAAATTAGTCTCGCTCTTAGAGCAACTGATACTTTTTGTTTCTTTTTCTTCAAGATGTACAAAATTAAAAACGTTATGTGTAATAGCGTAAATGTTGCGCCAAACTTTAGAGGAGTTGAGGCTCAGGATTAAAATTGCCCATGACAGAAATGTTATTGTACGCCACTAAGGTTTCTATTTCTTATTTTATTTTATAACCGTCGTTGATCCAATTTTGGATTCATGACTACTAATGTCCAGTTCCATAACCTTGTAATTTTGAACCCAATCCAGAAGACAAAGAAGCTACTGGATCAAGTATTAGGAGAAATCTGCCTTGGTGTAGGACTTTTTGATGGAACTAACCCGCATTTGCGTAACATGATGGGTAAAATCACGGAAGCCTCCCGCGGTTAGCCCGACAAAGACTTCTATTATGCCTTTCTTATTACGACCTGTTCAGAAGCACTCGAAGAAACAGTTCATAATAGCGAAGCACTCCTGCCGGCCTCTGATTTCCTAACATGGGTTCCTACTCATTTTTAATCTTGATGATGTGCACTAAAACTTGTACATTTTGACAAAAAAGATACTAAAACATCATTAAAAAAAAGTGTTATTTGGAGAGAGAAATTGATGGCCGATTTGAAATCAGCGGAGTGAAGATATCTAAGTTCCGATATTCTTAATCCATATTTGTTCAAATAAACATACACATTAGGCGGAACAGCATTATATTTAAAAAAAAAAGAAAAGAAAAGAAAACTGTATTGAATTCTGTCAAACTGCCAATGCGATAGGAGGGAAGAAAAACATCAAAACCACCTTGATTGTGTCGTGAAATTAGAGGTATTTTTATTAATAGCCTTTTTATATATTTCTTTCTGTTTCCTCTGACAATTAAACTGATGATTTGATGGCTTATAATGTGTATACATTTTCAACTATAATTTTAACATGATTTCTGTAAATATGTGTTAAGGATGACCATTGCTGTAAGTATTTTTTTTCTAGAAGTTTCTATCAGATAAAATTATTGTACATTACATTTGTTTTTTTTTTTCTTTCTTAGATATAAGCTGATGCGATACTGCTGGTCAGACGTACCCCAAATCAGACCGTCAGTTAATGAACTTTTGAGAACGTTGCAAGATTTGCATACAAAATTAGGAAGCTTCGTTTAACAATTTATTGAAATGCTTTCATTAATAATTTCGCCCTATGTGCTATTCTCATTTGAGGCAAGAACAAGCATTTGACTTTATGTTCTGAACTAAATTTCTAACAGAGTCAAAATATAGTTATAATATCGTTTAGTCCCTTTTTAATGATTTATTATTGCATAGCATGATTAAATTAAAAGCATTTAATTAACTGCACCGTTTCTGCTTCTGTTAATATTGTTCTGGAGTTTAATTAAAACTCTTTTGAGTAAATTAACCTTCGAAGAATATTAAGTAACGCGTAAATTATTAAGCATCATTTAAACTAAAATTTAATTTTTAATTATTATGTAGGATGCATAAATGTATTATTATGTGGCCATATGTAATTATTATGTAACCTGCATATTCATAATTTAAACAAAAATATAGCACACTTCGCGTAGAGTTCGGTTTTAACTTTTTATTTTTGGCGTTAGCTATGGCTCAGTTTGTATCTGCTTTGTGTTGCCAACGTGAGAAAAAGAAATTTCATGGGATTTGGGTCTATACACATAATAAGCATTTTATACCACATGGATTGTCGGTAACTATAGAAAGACCAGAATAATATACATATATTTTTGTTGTTTTTACTTTATTTTATGATTAAAGCATACAGACCACAATATAATATTACCATTCAAAGACTACTTTGAAGACTACTATGAAAGACTACAATGAATTATTGCCGGAATGTGAAAACAAATCAACAGTAACTCGTGATATACCGAAGTGTTAATTAATATTATAAAAATATGTGAAAATAAGAAAGTCTAAGAAAACTGTTTAAAATCAAATTTATTAGGTTAGTTATACTTTGCTTACCTACGTCACAAATGATAAGAATTTCAAAATTCTGATTTCCTGTGACAAATGATAAAAAGAATAAAAATTCATGAATATATAAGAATGATAAAGCTATATGATATTAATAAGCATGTGAAATATGTTATAAATAAGTTAATAGAAAACTGCGATAAATGATAAGAAGAACAAGAATCTTTGAAAGATTGGAATGATAAGATGTATGTTATAAGTACGTTTTGCTCTTTTTTAACGCCTTTTTGGCCAAAGATGCCTCAACGCACTATTTCAATAAATATTTTTTATTAACACTGTGACGTATATATTTCATTTTCAGCTATTTTCTAGAGTTCTGGAAATGTCTATAAAATATTAATTAATTCGATTGGAATAAACATTTTCTGTTAATAAATTTTCAAACTAAACTAGTTTTTTTCTGAACTTGAAATAGTTATTGACTTTTTAAAAATGTATAATTATCCCATTTCAGACTAATCATATGTTTTTACGATGGAATAAAGTTGCAAGTTCTCTAAATAAAATAAAAATAAAACAAATATCATGAAAAAAAACTAGCGTTCAACTAAGTGATTTATACATTGACTTGGCAATGGGACATTAAAAAAAAATTTTCCTGGACGAAATTTTTTGAGTCTAATGAATGTAATTTTAAGCATATTTCAAGGAAAACTATACCGCATTTCATGAAATTTCTATGCTTGGCCTAAAGTGGGGTTTATACAGACCAAATAGTATGATGGCATTTATCAGGTTCAAATAATACCAGATTTTAAAGCAAAATAAACTTGTTCTTGCCTTGATGTTGATTGCCTTATGGCAAGGGCTACCAAGGTGCATGCTGAATTTTAAATCTAGTCATCAGTTTGTTACGTGTATGTGTGTGGCTATGTTTTTATATGGATAAATATTGTCAGAAGTGTTCAAAATAGCCAATATTGTTTGCATGTTCATAGTGTGTTTCTATTCATTGTATTGAATTCTTCATAAATTTTTGTATGTGGGAACTTAGAAAATGGTTTTAGATCTTAACAAGGACTTTAGTGTCAAGAAGCAGTGTCAACTGGTAAATGCGAGTATCCAGAAGCAGTTTAAAGAAGCATCAAGTAGCAGATTAAAGAAAACTGCGCAATCGGCTTTAGTTTTACTGCAAAATCAGTTTTAGCATTACTTCAAAATCAGTTTTAGTTTTTAGAGCACCTAAAATTAAAGTTCAAAAGATAATTGGTTCAAAGTTTGTTAAAATATTCAAATGGACGAAAAAATTATAGATAAAAGAAAAAGTCTTTTCAGGGTTGAAATTTTCTTAAAAATGCACTGAAAAAATCAATTTTATTAAATTGAGTACAATAGAATTAAAAGGGAGCAGTTTGAACACGTAAATATATAACTTATTTTTAACTTTAAGGATCCATGTTATATTTTTTTAAATAAGAACTAAATTCAAAACATATTAAAATATGTTTTGAATAATTTTTCAATTAAATTATTTTAAATATATTTAAAAATATTTAATTACAATTTTTTAAAGTTTGTTTGAACGAACCAAAAAATATTTGGTTGGCTAAAAAGTTTTATTTTCATTCAGATTTATTCTAACAATATACTAAAACTCTGAATTACGCCTACCTATCTATTTTCTTCGCGCTATCTGGAGCAAAAAGCCTCAAGTCTCTTTTTCCAGGCACCCCTTTTGAGCCTGTCCTCTTGCCTCTTCCCATCCAATTAATTTTGCTTCGCACATATTTTCGTGCATATATCTTTGCTAAGTAAGTTTCGGCCTTCCTCTTTTTTATTTTCCATCGGGTGCCCAAGTAAGTGCGGTTTTAGGATTGGTATTCCGTTTTAGACGAAAAATATATGTCCAGCCCATCTCCATGTTTTCTTCAAAATTTCAAAGATATTAGCATTTATTTTCATGGTTTTCGTTTTATTCGTATTAAACAGATTTAATTTACATGTTCCTAAAATGTTTCTGTTTTTTTTTTCTTCCAAGATCGATGAATTTAGATGAAATAAGGACTATGTCATCTGCATAATCAAGAAACGTTAAATTATACTGAATTAAGAATTGATGAAATTGGATGCAAAATTAAAATTAAAAAAAATTACTATGAAATATTGTTAGAAATTTTGGACCACGTCGAACCATAATCTCGATTTAATTTGCAACAAACTTAATATAACGCTATGCTGAGACATATAATGCGACATAAATGCGAATAATTCTAGCTTGGCGTTATTTTTGGCGTCGTTTTAACAGCGGTTACCTTGTAAATCAAGTAGAACCAAAAAAGGCTTCAAAAAGTGAGTTTATATACACCCTAATAAAACTGGTAAAAAACAGTCATTAATTTTTTTCAATAATATGCATTTATATTTTGCGATGTTGATATTAATTTGTGAAATAAACGCAATACGTGTCTGTAAAAATTGTGATATCTGTAAAAAGTGCATATTATGTGTTTTGAAATACGTATTGTGTTATTATATTTAGAACAAATATAGACTGGCCGTCACGAGAAGAACTCCCATAGGAAGTCTTGCCTATAATTGAGAAACTGGTAGAGAAATCATTTGCTTTCCTCTCGAAAATAAGATAGGAAATTGAATGGTTTTACTTCCATTTATTTCTCTGTCCCAGGTACGGGTCACTTTGGGAATTTTTTCACGTGACGATACAGAGAAAGCAGTTTTATTAATAATTTCATAAAAATAAAATTACACTAATTTCAAAAAAAAAATTTTTTTTTACATTTTCAAGTTAAATGGCTCAAACATTTTAGATGCTAAATTTCAACAAATGTGTTGTGTATTCATGTATGTCTCTTTTTGTGTCTTATGTAATTGTAAACGCCAAATATGATTATGAATTATTCCTATTTATTTATTTCAAAGTACTGCCTTTTGTTTCTAAAGTTGTTATGAAATACTTGTTGACCAAGTTTATTGTATTTTTAATAAAAGTCTTTTAAGGAATTGTTGAATCTTTCATTGAATTTTCAAATGTCTATGATGGTTAACCCAAAAGTTTTAGTTTTAATGACCATTTAATGGCTATATGAGCATTTCCGGAAAATATCATGTTTTTCTTTAAAATAATATGGAAATACGTTACCGTTTTTATGATTTAAAATATTTATCAAATAATCTAAATGAACTATAAATATTTCTATTCTACGAACGGTCCGTTTTTACTATATCATTTTTATAAGGAAATTATATTCTGGTATTAAAAATTGTTGATACCGTAACAACATATTTGCCAGAAAAATTTTATTCTTGACGTGCTGATAGATTTGTTCATTTAAGATGTACATCTGATAGATTTGTACATCTGAATAGATTTGTACATTTATGGAATTTGCAAGGAGTTCAAGGTAGAGACTCACAGATATTGCTAAAGACTGAGCGCAGCAGTTTTACCAAAAACAAAGACAGTGAACAAGAGGCCTAGCTAAGAGCAAGATCAACTAAAACGCACATGTCTGAAATAAGCTCTAAGTCTAACAACACCAGCTTAGGTTATCCCTCAAATGCCTCAAACTATTTATGATATCAATCAAATCAATTAAGACTATCAATCAATTTAAACTTAACTATCAATCAAATAAGATGCGTTGTTGGAACATATTTCTAACTTTAAAGACATTTTACAATAGCCATCAATTTCTCAAAACTACATGGAATAAATCATATCGTTAACAATTAAATTATCGCACAAAAAAGCTTATTTGATAGTGTTTTTTAAAGACAAGACATCTTGAGCTTTAACAAAATAAATAATTACTAGGAGGCTCCGCACCCTGCCCGCTAATGCTCGCCAACCCCCGAGAATTGCTACGCAACCCCATGTGGTTCACGCCGTGAACCATGGCTCGCTGCTCTCGCTCGCCAATGAACACAATGTTCCAGCACAAAGGCATAGTATATTATCATCAAAGACATAGTATTGTACTTGTGTAGAAGAATTCTATCAATGTTCTTATTGGCTTTTAAAACGGTAGATTAGCTATTTAGATTGTACATGGTGAAAAAATCAAAACATTAGCTAAATGAGAAACATATTAGCGAAATAAATTTCAAGGAGGTGGCTTTATGTGTGCTCCAAATGATGCAAAAGCAAGAGCAGAATTATATTCCCGGATATAATTTCGATAATTTCGTGTCTCAATCGAATTATCACTTAATAATATTTGCAGCAACTCGGGAATGTCCATTAGTGTAGGCAAATTAATTTTTCCATCGTGGCAGCACTTCGTATATTTGCCAGAAGAATTTCTTTTTTTGGCCCAGAAGTAAGTATTACAATAACTACATTGTTCCGTCATTGAGCCAATATTATACTCTTCGACATCTACTGTTATATCTTGAACAATTATTATTGCACTTGATCTCTGCAATCTACGTCTTCCATAACATTCCGCAACACTTTCTTGGGCTCTTCGAACACGTTTTCTTTCATTACGTTTAAAAGCCCTAGCAGCTTCACTAATATTCTGCATTTTACTATTATTCTGCATTTCACTATTATTCTGCATTAGCTCCCAGTAGAAAAATATCAATTCAACAGCCGCCTTTTAAAGCATTCTCACTTCAATTAATTAATTAATTCCTAATTGAGTTTAAATTAAATATTATCATGTTTTTAGGGCATGAATCTGAATTGAACAACGTGATAATGCTCACTCTGGTTATTGTTTCCGTTTTTAAAAGCACTATATGTTGAGCCACCTCATTTAGATTTGCCATGTGACATTTTTAGCAGCAATCATTGGTCGATTTTCTAACGTTGCCATTCGGGGAGTTGTAATGAGGCTTTTTTTTTGGTCCCGTGTAAGAGAAATATATATATATAGATTGTGACTGTCCGCTCTCTAAACTTTACGTTGCACTTATTGAGCTTGTAACAAAATATTTAAAACATAACTACTGATAAAATTAATTATTTGATTCAATAAATGTTCTTTGATGTTCTAAAATATATTACTATATAGAATGTATAAGATGTTAACGATCTATATAATTAAATAAAAACCAACATACTTCGCTTTTTAAAGACTTATGCGGAAGATTTCCAATGAGTCTATTAATTTAATAGATTTACCCCTTGATTATGAAGTTCAGTTCAAATCTAAAACTTTAACAACAACTTCTAGGTAAAAATCACAATGAAAAAGAATACTAGCCGGAGTTTTAAAATTAGTCTACAACAATGCATTTATCTGTAACAAAGTTAGAAAATATGGATCTTGTGTTTAGATGGTAAGAAAACAATTGTTGTATTTTCTTTTTTATCTCTTGTAGATATTTTTAAGGTGCAAAATTAAGAAATAAGTCAAATTGCCATTCACGTTGATTTCTTCAAACTTATAGCAAAACTAAAAGAAAAAAAATTATTTAAAAAATAAATAATAATGAGAAAACATGAACCTAAATCTTAAGTTATTGTTGACCAGATTAAAATAATGCTTTAACTGTCTCGTATCGTCATCAAACTATACGAAAAAAAGGAAATTATAGGGGAAAAAAATTTTTTTCGGTAGTGCTTAAAATATAAAAATATATACCACGATAAAAATAATGCAAAGACATATATTTTTAATAATTCTGCATATATTAGATCGTCATCGATGAAATTTGTAGGTTGGATATGAAAATTTTAACAGCTTATTATTTGATATTGGCTTAGTATTTTATCGTTGTTTTTTTTCTTTTGTTGATAAGTAACTTATCTCACTTGCTTAAAACTCCAAAAATATTAAAAGCATTTTTAACTAATTTTATTGAATTGGGAACATTGTCGCGAATGCACGCTATTAGGAATAATAATTTATGTCGAGCTGCAACAACACAGACCACACGAAACATAAATAGAAAATATGCTATCTGACTTTATTTGCAAGATGACTTGATAGTTGGTTGAAATAAGATGAATCACAAAAACACACTCCTAAGAGTAATATTCACAAAAACAGCAGTTAGTGAGTGTTTAGTGCCCTACCGCTGGTCTGATACCGCTGGTCTGATCAATTTTATGAAATCTGAATTATCTATCGGTCAAAATAGATATTTGAAACTATCTAGACGAAATAATCTCAAAACGTAAGAAAAAATAGAATAGATTGATAAGAAGATCACCTTTTGTTTTATTGCAAGACAATAGCAGAATTACACGAATCGCAACTTCACTATACTGCATACTTACTAGATCTAGCAGATACCGACTCATTGTGACCCCCCCTAAATGGCCTATAAAAATTTTCGGCAGCCATGATTGGACCATAGACCTCTACTTAGGGTCCGAGTTTGAAAATTATACCTTGATATGAAAGGAAACTAGGGGGTCTTGAAATATGAACCTTCCTCACGCCATTTTATTTTTTTATTCTTTTTTTTTTAATTATTCCATTATGCTTTCTTTGCTGGATTTCACACACAGAAAACATCCCATGCATGCTAGAATATCCAAAATGTTACAAAAGAATTCGAAAAAGAACAGATAAACTGATTTTTCTGGATTTTTCCAGTTTTTTCATATTTTCCCTACAAAAAATATTATTTCCTTCATGCAGGACCCTCCAGAATATCGAAAAACACATTTAAAAAATAAAATAATTTAAAACAAAAAAAATTTAAAAAAAATTTTGAAAATTTATCCGCCCCTGGGATTCGAACCCAGGACCCCTCCCTCCAGCTGCGTACTTGCTTGTCTGGAGGGCTACCATCCAGTCCACGGTGATACACGAAGCCTATCACAGTTTCACTTCAAAAGCTCTCTCCTCTCATCTTCGCAATATACCTTTAGGGGCCCACTGTGACCCCCCTAATTAGCCTATAAAAATTTTCTTCTTCAGCCATGTTTGGACATTAGACCCCTACTTAGGGTCCAAGTTTGAAAATTATACCTTGTTATTTAAGGGAGCTAGGGGGTCTTGAAATATGAACCTTCCTCACGCCATTTTATTTTTTTATTCTTTTTTTTTTAATTATTCCATTATGCTTTCTTTGCTGGATTTCACACACAGAAAACACCCCATGCATGCTAGAATATCCAAAATGCTACAAAAGAAGNGGTCAAAATAGATATTTGAAACTATCTAGACGAAATAATCTCAAAACGTAAGAAAAAATAGAATAGATTGATAAGAAGATCACCTTTTGTTTTATTGCAAGACAATAGCAGAATTACACGAATCGCAACTTCACTATACTGCATACTTACTAGATCTAGCAGATACCGACTCATTGTGACCCCCCCTAAATGGCCTATAAAAATTTTCGGCAGCCATGATTGGACCATAGACCTCTACTTAGGGTCCGAGTTTGAAAATTATACCTTGATATGAAAGGAAACTAGGGGGTCTTGAAATATGAACCTTCCTCACGCCATTTTATTTTTTTATTCTTTTTTTTTTAATTATTCCATTATGCTTTCTTTGCTGGATTTCACACACAGAAAACACCCCATGCATGCTAGAATATCCGAAATGTTACAAAAGAAGTCGAAAAAGAGCAAATAAACTAATTTTCCTGGATATTTCCAGTTTTTTCCATTTTCCCAATAAAAAATATTATTTCCCACATGCAGGGAACTCCAGAATATCGAAAAACACATTTAAAAAAATATAATTCAAAATAAACAACAAAAAAAAGAAATTTTTTTGTAAAATTATCCGTCCCTGGGATTCGAACCCAGGACCCCTACTTCCAACAGCGAACTTGCTTGTCTGCTTGGCTACCATCCGGTCCACGGTGATACGTGAAGCCTACCACAGTTTCGCTTCAAAACTCTCCTCTTATCTTCGCAATACTCCTTTAGGGGCCCACTGTGACCCCCTAAGAGGCCTATAAAAATTTTCTTCTTCAACCACGGTTGGACCTTAGACCCCTACTTAGGGTCCAAGTTTGAAAATTATACCTTGTTATTTAAGGGAGGTAGGGGGTCTTGAAATATGAACCTTCCTCACGCCATTTCATTTTTTTATTCCTTTTTTTTTATTCCATTACGCTTTCTTTGCTGGATTTCACACGCAGAAAACATCCCATGCATGCTAGTATATCCAAAATGTTACAAAAGAATTCGAAAAAGAACAGATAATTTGATTTTTCAGGATTTTTCCAGTTTTTTCCCATTTTCCCTATAAAAAATATTATTTCCTTCATGCAGGACCCTCCAGAATATCGAAAAACACATTTAATAAAAATATAATTCAAAATAAACAAAAAAAGAGAAAAATTTTTAAAAATTTGTCCTTCCCTGGGATTCGAACCCAAGACCCCTCCCTCCAGCAGCGAACTTACTTGACTGGTGGGATACCATCCAGTCCACGGTGATACGTGCGGCACAGTTTCGCTTCAAAAGCTCTCTCATCTTCGCAATATACCTTTAGGGGTCATTGTGACCCCCCTAATTGGCCTATAAAAATTTTCTTCTTCAGCCACGGTTGGACCTTAGACCCCTACTTAGGGTCCAAGTTTGAAAATTATACCTTGTTATTTAAGGGAGCTAGGGGGTCTTGAAATATGAGCCTTCCTCACGCCATTTTATTTTTTTATTCTTTTTTTTTATTCCATTACGCTTTCTTTGCTGGATTTCACACGCAGAAAACACCCCATGCATGCTAGTATATCCAAAATGTTAAAAAAGAATTCGAAAAAGAACAGATAAATTGATTTTTCTGGATTTTTCCAGTTTTTTCCCATTTTCCCTATAAAAAAATATTATTTCCTTCATGCAGGACCCTCCAGAATATCGAAAAACACATTTAAAAAATAAAATAATTTAAAATAAAAAAATTTAAAAAGAATTTTGAAAATTTGTCGGCCTCTGGGATTCGAACCCAGGACCCTTCCCTCCAGCTGCGTACTTGCTTGTCCGGTGGTCTACCATCCAGTCCACGGTGATACGTGAAGCCTACCACTGTTTCGCTTCAAAAGCTCTCTCCTCTCATCTTCGTAATATACCTTTAGGGGTCATTGTGACCCCCCTAATTGGCCTATAAAAATTTTCTTCTTCAGCCACGGTTGGACCTTAGACCCCTACTTAGGGTCCAAATTTGAAAATTATACCTTGTTATTTGAGGGAGCTAGGGGGTCTTGAAATATGAACCTTCCTCACGCCATTTTATTTTTTTATTCCATTACGCTTTCTTTGCTGGATTTCACACACACAAATCACCCCATGCATGCTAGAATATCCAAAATGTTACAAAATAAGTCGAAAAAGAGCAAATAAACTGATTTTCCTGTATTTTTCCATTTTTTTTTTCCATTTCCCCAATAAAAAAAATTATTTCCTACATGCAGGACCCTCCAGAATATCGAAAAACACATTTAATAAAAATATAATTTAAAATAAACAAAAAAAGAGAAAAAATTTTGAAAATTTGTCCGTCCCTGGGATTCGCACCCAGGACCCCTCCCTCCAGCAGCAAACTTGCTTGACTGGCGGGCTACCATCCAGTCCACGGCGATACGTGAAGCCTACCTCAGTTTTGCCTCAAAAGTTCTCTCCTCTCTTCTTCGCAATATACCTTTAGGGGCCCACTGTGATCCCCCTAATTGGCCTATAAAACTGTTGTTCTCCAGCCATGTTTGGACCATCGACCCCTGCTTAGGGTTCAAGTTTGAAAATTATACCTTGATATTAAAAGGAGCTAGGGGGTCTCGAAATTTGAACCTTACTCGCGCCATTTTATTTTTTTATTCTTTTTTTATTTATTATTCCATTACAATTTCTTTACTGGATTTCACATACAGAAAACACCCCAAGCATGTCAGAATATCCAAAATGTTACAAAAGAAGACGAAAAAGAGCAAATAAACTGGTTTTCATGGATTTTTTCAATTGTTTCCTATTTTCCCAATAAAAAAATATTATTTCCTGCATGCAGGACAATCCAGAATATCGAAAAACACATTTAAAAAAATATAATTTAAAATAAACAACAAAAATAACAAAAATTTTTGAAAATTTGTCCGTCCTTGGGATTCGAACCCAGACCCTCCCTCCAGCAGCGAACTTGCTTGCCTGGTTTGCTACCATCCTGTCCACGGTGATACGTGAGGCCTACCACAGTTTAGCTTCAAAAGCTCTCCTCTCATCTTCGCAATATGCCTTTAGGGGCCCACTGTGATCCCCCTAATTGGCCTATAAAACTGTTGTTCTCCAGCCATGTTTGGACCATCGACCCCTACTTAGTGTTCAAGTTTGAAAATTATAAAGGGAGCTAGGGGTTTTCGAAATTTGAACCTTACTCGCGGCATTTTATTTTTTTTATTCTTTTTTTTATTATTCCATTACGCTTTCTTTGCTGGATTTCACACACAGAAAACACCCCATGCATGATAGTGCGGTATTCTCACTACCGAGTCAAACTCCCAAACGACAACTGCTCCCTGACGCAGTTGTGAGATGAGACTGCTACTTCAACTTCTACTTCTGAACTTTGAACTGAAGTGAACCGTAGTTTTTTTTTTAGATATAAACAAGTTCGTTCACGAGATGTTGTTCATCTGATATTTTTCTCACTCGCGATCGTCAGCGAGATATGTTTTTTTATTTCATGTAACCTTTAATTATTTTATTTTAATTACATTAAAATGTAATATTTTGGATTAACTATTATTTCATTTCTGCTGCATTTAAGACAGGATTGGACTTCGTGTTCGGGTCTGAACCTGTAGTGGTGACCCTTGAAAAGACAGGATTGGACTTCGTGATCGGGTCTGAACCTGTAATAGAATATCCAAAATGTTACAAAAGAATTCGAAAAAGAACAAATAAACTGATTTTTCTGGATTTTTCCAGTTTTTTCCCATTTTCCCTATATAAAAATATTATTTCCTTCATGCAGGACTCTCCAGAATATCGAAAAACACATTTAAAAAATAAAATAATTTAAAATAAAAAAAAAATTAAAAAAATTTTGAAAATTTGTCCGTCTCTGGGATTCGAGCCCAGGACCCCTCCCTCCAGCTGTGTACATGCTTGTCTGGTGGCCTACCATCCAGTCCACGGTGATCTGTGAAACCTACCGCTGTTTCGCTTCAAAGGCTCTCTCCTCTTATCTTCGCAATATACCTTTAGGGGCCGACTACCAGTTCTTCTTAAATTTTATCAACTTTCTTAATAAAGAAACAATTTTGTTCCGAAGATGTCTTCAGGAATTTATTCACTCCTTTCGACCAGGTTTATGTCACACAGCCCACCGTTTTTGTGGCAAAAGTGTAACGAAAACAAGGGCGCATACTTTAATGAAATAAATATTTGCTTACATCTGCAAGCCTTCAGCCAACTTCGTCTGTTTTTCTAAAAATCTCATACTCGGTGATCTAACACTAAAAAAACTCATTTTCATTTTTTGAGAAGCAAGCAAAATTTTATAATGACGAAAGGCTTTAACAGTAGGAGGTCAGTCTAGTGTTAAAATCTTCTTATCAAAATATAAACTTTAAAAAAATAGCTCTAGAAAAGTCTTAAAAAATAAGACAGAAATGTTGCTAATCGTGCAGCAAACTTAACGTTTTTTTAATTGGGTTGTTGGTGGTATTGGTTATAGTAATATAGAAAGTAAATATAATAAAGTAATAATATATGAAGTAACACAGTAATTTATTAAGCAACAAATAATAAACTAAAAATCATAACTCACAGCAAATAATATAGTAAAAAAGGTAAAGTAAAACAGCGAATTATTTTGTAAATTACAGGCTAAATATTAAATTTGAAAATTAAATTGAAACTAAGGATGTACTGAGAAGGAATTTGAGAATTAAATTGAAACTAGGGATGTACTAGATACCCGGTAATTACTCGATTCACGACCTATCGGTGGTATTGGTTATTCATAAAGTGAAACAGCAATTTATTAAGCAAATTTAATTCTAAATATTAAATGTGAGAATTAAGTTGAAACTAGGGATGTACTGGGAATGCATTTGAGAAATGAATTGAAACTAGAGATTTATTGAAAAGAATTCGAAAATTAAATTGAAACTAGGAATGTACCGGTAACCCGGCAAATATTCAATTTCCGACCTACCCGTAGCCGGCAAAAGAATTTTACTTCCCAGAACCGGGATTTCGGATTTTTTATCAGACGGCACGGTACCTGGTACCCTGACTCGACCAATTTCGCCGGGTTCCAGTGCCTTATAAGACTTATTTGTGTTAGACGCACTCGTATTCAGAATTAAAAAAGCTTAAAATTATTCATAAATGATTGTTATAGTTTCAGAAATCCTTTTATTCGACCAGAGGGACACATTTTAATACGTTTCTACACATTTGTGCATGGGAGAAAGGGGACGGAGGGAGGCTGTAGACATTGAATCGGCTTTCTTCCCAGATGGCGTATTCGAGTGTTGCGATCTTGAATGGCCATTCACATTGCATGCTGTTTACACACTTCCAAACAGCGACAAGGGAGAACGGAGGTCAGGGAAAAGTATTTTCCCTTGAAAAACTCACCAATCAGGTTGACGTTTTACCTACGCTGATCGGAGGTATTTGAATCAAATACAGTGAAAACGGTCCCTAAATCTAGGTAAATTTGAGTCTAATCTTTTTAAGTTGCTAATGGAGTTGGCAACATCTTGAAATTAGTCACGAGAATTTTGTAAACATGGCGAGCTCCGTCTCTAAATTAACTTTTCAGTTAATTGCTCTTTTATTTTGTAAGTATATCGTTAAAATGATTAATCACATTTATTTTTATTAAAAAATTGTATTATAATTTTTTTTAATCAAATTTTTTTAACCCTTCTTTCTTTGCACTTGTATAATTTAAATTTGTATCATTTTTCTGTAGTTTCGTTTTTCACTTAATTATTAATGATGTTCAATGGAACGATTATAATTTAAATGAATTGATTGTAAAAATTCTTTATGTTAAAATACTTAAATCTTAATTTAGAGCACTCAATGCAAGAACATAGTAATGATTCGAACATCAATGGGTGGACAAAATAGTTTATGTTTGCTAACTTCAAAATATTGACTTCTTAAAAATATTCATTAGAAAAAGCGTATTTTTAGTTTTGAGCTCACCTTGCCAACTTTCTTTCTACTATTTTCTATTGTAAGTACAAACGATTGTTGTCAATTCGCTATAACTTGATGAACTCGATTTTTATGCTGTCTCAACCCTTTTATTCTATACTGCTTATTCTGGATATTTACTCCTTTTTTTAGAAGCTTATTCTAGATCAGCGGTTCTTAACCTATGCAGTGTTTTCATCATAGAAAAAAAATGGGTGAGAATTTCTCACCCTTTCTCAAAAACAGGGTGAGATTTCAGAAAGTTAAGTGAGATTTCTAAAAACTGAAAAAATACAAATAGACTTGGAAAAAAAATTTCTTTTGTTATAATACATTTTTAACGTCTTCTATTTTTTNCTCGTAATATTCATTCCCGATTCTTAATTTACTTGTTGAAGACAATAATATTGATATCACAGATTTTGAAATACAGAAAATTATTATTAATCATTTAGAAAAACTAATAGCAGACTCGATGTTTCCCTGCAGATGATGTTTTCAAATATAATTGGGTTCGAATGCCATTTAATTTTGATGTAAGTGATTTGCATGAGGAATTTGTTAATATTAAACAATTTCAAGAACAATTAATAGAAATACAAAGTGATCAAGCACTTTGATACAATTTCTACAAAAACACTGAATCTTTATGTGCTTGCTGGTTAAAATTAAAAACCGAAAAGCCAATAGTTGTTAAAGAAGCCCTAAAAGTATTTGTGCCCTTTTCAACAACATATATGTGTGAGGCTGGTTTTTTGGCTCTGTGTGTAATCAAAAACAATTACCGGAACAGGTTAAACCCTGAAATAGATATAAGGTGCTCCTTGACAAGCATTCAACCGAGGTTTGAAGATCTTTCAAAATGTATTCAAGCACAAGGTTCTCATTAAAACTGTATGACTTGCATTTAAAATTTAAAAGACTTAATATATGTATTGATATTTCTTTTTTTTTTTAGGAATAAGTTAAAATGTCAATTATTTTCAAAAAGTTATAAATATATTTTAATTTGGTCAATAAAAATTATTAAAAGCACTTGATTATTAATTAAATTTTCCTTGGATCGAAAAGTACTTTTGTTTATCTTTATTATTAAAAAAAAATCATAATTGTTGGATTGAAGATTTTTTAAAAATACGATCTAAAATAAAGCAATGAAAAAATTTTGACTTTTTTTTGAGTCGCGACATGAACATATTTCTCAAATTTGGGTCACGGCTTAAAAAGGTTAAGAACTGTTTTAGATGATAATAACAAAATGATAAAGCCATTTTCATTGACATAACACAGGTCGATGCACATTAGATACAACAGATCAAAATAGTTGTAAAAGTGTGAAAAAGAGGGTTTAACACCTTGTGGAGAATGAGAGAGGTTGTTTTATTTCACTTTTAATTATTACTATGTACTGTATTGCTTTATAAATATAAGCATTTAAAAAATAGATGAAAATGTAATGCCTCATAATTAATAGTACCATTCATTTAAAAAAACGCCAGAGCTTTGTGTTTGAAATGTGTGTTATCATTTGTTGTTGTTATCACCCGGAAAATATTTTAATTTTAAGCTTTTCTCAAGGTTTAAAGAAATGTTTTACTTCTAAAAATTTGTCAGAAATTTGATTATTCCTATGTAAAAAGGTCATGAGCTTATTTTTAATGATATTGCAAGTGTGAGGAAAAAGTCTTATTCAAACTTTATAAATATTATTTATGAAAAAGTTTGAACAATTATTTACCGGGTAATTGTTTCTTTAATGACGATCTTGATTTTCATGATATTCAAAAGGCAGCTTTAGAATGTTAACTGTACTGTTTCGAAAAATTCATTGCAAAACATTTGGGGAAAAAAACTTTTAAAAATGTTATTTGTTTTTTAATTAGGTATATATCTATTAGATGTCTTTTAATCTTTGATACTTTACTAATTTTACATCATAATAAGAATCTAGTTAAGTCTTTTGATTATCTGAACTGTAATGAGCAGTAACAAAGTCTTAATGCAAAGTACAAGAATAAGATTGAGGGTGGGAAATATTTATGAAACTCAAAAGTATAAAAAATTATATAAGCACTGTTCTTCAATATCATTGTCAAATTTTTTTTATTTGTATATTTATTTATGTTTTTCCATTCAGGTTCTGGTGTCCTAGCAGTTGAAGAATTAGTCATTACTCATGCTCCAGATTCAGTGAAATTTCTGTCTAATGATCCTGTGCGGTCAAGCTTTCTAGGCGATATTTTTTCATCTATGCTTGGCTATACCATCCGAAGTGTATGTAATTGATTTTATTTTTTATCTTTGCAACTTATTTACTTTAGCAATCATGTCAAAGTTGTAAATAATTGACAAAATTTTCCAGATTTTAAACTGTCAGATCGATACAGATAAATAGTTTGAGCACTGCATATTACATAACAACATCAGCTTTAATTTAAAAAATTTTAATTACTTTCTAAAAAAAGAACTACTTTAATTGTCATCAGTATTATGCAGCAAAATGGTACTTATGCTTAAGTTAGGCACTATAATAAATTCATGATGTCAGAATAACTTTTTTTTTAAATTTCAGAATATTGACTGGAATGGATTAGCTGAAGTTTCACCATGGAAAAAACCTGAAGCAATTGTCATCATTGAACTTACTGGCTTCAGCAACAAAGTTGATCTTCCTCTTGAAGGAAACAAGTTTTTGTTAGAAAATGTAAGTTTTTATTTTGTGATGCAGATCCAAATTAACATTTACTCATATTTTGTGTGTGTGTGCTTTTATGCATGTTTTTACTGATATGGGATGTAGGTATTAAAGTTAGGTTCATTCGTTGGTACTGGATGTATAAATATTTTGCTGATCAAATTACATGATTTTTTTTTTTTTGCATAGCACCCTTGATCAGTAAAATTATAGTTGAGCTCCAACATCTGAGTTTTGTGTAAAATATTTTAATAACCAATGGAGGTTTTTTTTGTTGTTTCTTTTATCAGATCTTCAGAATGTAACCATTAATATGACTGACCTTATAAATATTTGTTTAAATGATTAATATCTAGTGGTGATCTTATGATTAATAATTATCACTAATATGATTAATGTCTAAAATAAATTGTCAACAAGAACCTGTAATTTAGGTTTCAGTGTGTTAAATTAAAATTAAAAATATTTGTATAACCCCAGTTATTTAACTAGTACTTTTTGATACAAAGAATTATAATTTGCACACTAAGTATTCGAATTCCCCAATGGATTTAAATTCTTTTATTCAGAAAAATTACAGTTTAATTGTAAATATTCATTTTTCTCTTGATGTAAGGAGTCATAATATTTTGGATTATTTATATTTCAATTTCAGCACTATAGTACAATGTGTTTATTTTTGTAGGTTGGAGATCTTAGTTTTCAATTTGACCTAGCTGCTCATCGAACTAATGAAAGATATTTTGGAAAACGTCCTGTAATGTTAAACATGGATTTAGGAAATGAGGTAAGAAATTAGATTGTCCTCATATTTGCTAACATGTTAACATAAATTTTCTAATAATTGCATTTGTTATGTAATAAGTTGAATTGCAATCAAATGTTTATTGAAGTTTACTGATAAATATGTTAAATGGTGTTTTGAATATAGCTCTGAAATTTTTATAGTTTAAGAGCATGATATAGTCAATTGCAATATTTATGTATTCTTCCAAACAATTATATGTAGGAATGTAAAGTGGAAAAACATGCCTATTAAACAGTTACCTGATAATTCTAAACTGATTTTATCAGCCACTAAATTTTTATGGGTTTTTTATAATTTTCCATTTTGTGTTTTCTTCTTAATATTATTACAAAACAGCATATTTCATTATACTTAAGGGTGATACACTTTGTTTCTATTGTAGTTTCCAATATAAAATTTAACCATTTTTCTTTATATATTTTTTGCGAAAGCATTCGTTAATAAAAGTAATGAGGTATTCCTATTTGCAGTTGACTTTTTTTAATGGTTTGTACTTTACCTTAAGCTTATAATAATTATCCTTGTCATTATAAATTTTCAAATTATTTCTTTTGAATGTATTATTCTTAATAATTTTTGTCAATACCTAAAATCTGCATCCATATTTAGAATAATGTTGGTCATTTTGATTAATCCATAATGAAATTTGTATTTTACAATGTTTTTAATTATTCATTTTTATTCTGTCTTCATTCTTTCTTCAATGTCTTCGGAAAATTCCGTTTTCTCCGAATACAAGTGGATTTTAAAATAATTGATTTAAAGAATCAAGGTATTTGGATTTGCGATCCAACATTTTTTTATTTTAATTAGTAATCCTAGTTAAGGCCGTCCAATTCGGCAGTTCATACTTTGAGATTGTCTACAAATTATAAGCATGGTTCAGGGGAATAGCCTTACCCTCAGTATTCCTTGTTTCAAAATTTTTGAAATTTCTGTCATTTTATGAAAAAGAAAACTTAATGTTTTACATTATCAGATATGTGTTTTACATTACATGTGATGGTGTATTGTAGTTTGACAATTATTTATACTTTTCTTTCATCTGATTTTAAAATTATCAATTCCAATCAACAATGCCGTAATTATATCATAAAATTTTTAAATGGAGAACTACCCATTACTTTTTTCAGCATATTTGATGTGTTTTTATTTCAATATTATCAAAACCCTGCTTTTAAATTATTTGATTGGGGAAGTCTTAAGCTCAATTGTAAGTTTTAATTAAATATTGATTTAAAGGAATATTGATTAATTCATATGAGTTATTACTTTTTAATGCAATGGTACTATAAAAGCTTTCTATATCTTAAACTATTATGGGTTGTTTAGTGCTCTATTTATAAAGTTGTGCTGGAAAATCTTACTCTCTTTTCTAAAGTAATTCTTTTGTGATAAAACTTACCTTTATTATACTTTTAAAGCAAATTGTACTTTTTTTAGTTCTTCTTTTTCAAAAATAGACTAGTGTAAGTCTTTTGTTCTAAAATATGTCCTGAAAACATATGATTTTTTGAAGAATGTTGTCCTGATTTTCTCTTTGATCCACTATGAAGCCTGCTTATATATTTTCCTGATAGATCTTATAAAGCTCTTTATCAATAACTTTTTTTTTTAAAAAACTAAAGAATTTTTCAGTAGTTGTAGTAGGAAATTGTTTAGATTATATATTATCTGTGAGATCTCTGGTGTTCTTTGAAGCTTGCAATAAACCAATTATTTTCTTGGTATAATTAAATTATGGATATGTATCTTTGAAGAAATCTGATTTTTGTCAGAACTGAGTAGATATTTATTTCCCATTGATTAATCTACAATTAATCTTAATATTGTAACTTACAGATCACTTTTGATTTATTAACTATGTGAATAAACTGATCTAACTGATTTTGTTATCTGAAATAGAATATTGATGATTAAAAGCTTTTTAATCTTTTAGTTTTAATTTTAAAAAATTGCCGAAAGGTATAAGCTTTTTATGAGTTTAGCTTTTTTTTTTAGCAAATGTTATATTTTATTTTTGCAAACTTACATAAAAACACTCTTTGACTTTGTATGTGCTTGGTATAGTAAAGCTGCTTACGGCTCTTTACTTATAAACTCTAAATTTATCAACCAATAATTGCATTTCTAATAAATTTTATCACTAATGAAGTAATGATTAAAAAAATAGTTGTAATTGTAGGAGAAACCTTTTAAATTTGATTTCACATAGGCTATGGTCAATTTTGTTCTTAATCATACTTTGATGATAATTAAATAGGTACCTGCCTGCTCATTGAAAATTAAAATTAAATCTACCTGCTATTTAAAATTAATCACAGATTTATAGTCAGAAGGCTGAATTTTTCTTATTAGTTAGTGATAAATTCTTCTGATATTTCTTCAGATCAACTTAATTTTAGAAAAATTAGAATTAGCAGAAATTTAAAGTTTCTTTTCTAAATCCAGCTCCTATTACAAAGGATACTATATGTCTACATACCTTACTTATCGAAGAATATTTCAAAATACATCTTATAAAGTATATAGAAATTAAAATCAAAAAATAGTATGTTTGTTTATTTATATTTTAATTAATAAAATGCTACCTTTTCATGTTTATCGAAAATCATTTTTTAGTGATCACTAATTTATTTCTTTTGCATCTGCTTCATTCTTTATAAAATATTTATTTAGACTTTCTGTAATTATATGTTTTTATCACAAAATTCTGCTCTAGTTTGAATAAACAGTCTGATGTTTAAAAATGGCAGAGAGACCAAAATTGCAGTGTTTTTTTTTTTTTCTTTAGTAAAATTTCTTATTATTGCTTATTTAACTAATGACCTTCGGAAAATATTAAAATAAAAGTTAACAACTCAATAATAATTTTTTAAAAAATGGTTATTACATAGTTCCTGAAGAGAAGTCTTAATTTTTACTTTTTCTTTAATCTTTAGTTTATGAATTTCTTTATAAATTTCTTTTGCTTTTATGCATACATTATTTTTTTAAAGTTAAACTGTTAAAAATATGTCAAAGCCAATTTATTTCCTCCAAATTTTATTGATTCTATTAATAGGATACGTCAAATGTGAAAACTATTGAAAAATAAGAAGAGATACTGAATTTTTATTTTTTATTGTAAATGAAATATGTATGTAAAGCATTGTCAGAGCACACAATTTATTCCTTTATTTGTTTTGTGACAGATTCACGATTCCAAAATAGCTCAGCCAGTCTTGCTTAAGAATATTCCTGCTGATCCTTCTCAGAGACTTAAGTTAGCCCTGGAAAATCCTGAGTTAGGAGAGTTAATGAAGGAGTCCATTTTTAATGCAAGTTCACCCAGTGATACAAAACTTCTTACAGAATTAGCTACACTTAAAGAATTCATGAAGGCTGTGAGTATTATCAGATATTTACAATTGTCAATCAGGCTTATCGAATTTTTTCACATTGTAATTTAGTTGTATTCTTTAATTCATACATTAATCTTAAGAGAAATAATTAATAAAGGCATTTTAAAAGAAGCCGATCTATAGTAATTTTATTATGAACTTGTATATTTTTCTTACTTACGAAGTGTATATAATTATCAAGCATATTTTACTTTGTGAAAATTTATACATTAATGAAACAAAGAGTAAAAGTTTTCCCAAGCGCCTGTTTAGGTTTTTCTGAGAGGTACCTATTTTGTGAAAATTTAGACATAATTTGTGAAAATTAAAAATTATATTAAAAATCAGCACAAAAATATGGATTTATGGCATCCTATGGTATACAAAAATAAAATTTTAAGAAAAAGTATTTTGTGAAACTACCGCTTTTCCTAAAGTTTAATTTGTGAAGGTACCGCTAAACGGTAGTAAATTTGGCCTGGACAGACCCCTGCTTCCATCTCTTATTATTGAATTAAATGTACTCTTAATTATTAAATTAAGTTATACAATTAGGAAATATGTTATGCCTTTAATGGTATGGCAACAATGTAATGATCATTATCTAAATTAAACATCTCAATCAATCAATAGCAAAGTCTTCTTGACTGTTTGTTTTTTGGAGCCAATCATTTACACATTTTTAATTAAACAATCTTGCTTTAAGAAATTTGTGAAATTTTCTGTTTAGGAAAGCATTTTGTTGGGCATAATCTCTTCTCAAATTCTTTTTAAATGTTGTAGTTCCAATTTAATTTCCTTTGTAAATGATTTAATTTTAGCCCAGATGTAATAATCTTTGAATTTTGTGCAGCTTAGTTGTTTCAGACTCTTGTGGTTTTTTAATACCTAACCAATAAATTTTTAAGCTCATTAAATTTTTTGATCAAAACCCAGTTGTGTAACCAGCTCAATGTTATTCTGTAATTGCTTAATAGAGAACATTTTGTAAAATTTTGCCCTGAGTCTTTAGTCTTGATTATGCAGAATTAAGTGATCAAAATGGGTAATTTTCTGTGCTGAGGGAACTAATTCCACATTTCGATATATAGAGGGCTTTTTGTTCATTTGATTTAAATTTGGATCTATAATTTTAGTGATAAATCTTATTTAAAAAATTCCGAAATCACTATTAATTGGACTTAGACTATTGACTTTTCCATATTGATACTGTTAATCTTGTTTCTGTTTGCTAATTGCGAAACTAAATTTGAATATTTATTTATGTTCTGAAATATTTAACTAAATTATGTAATTATTTTCAGTTGTCTGCACAAAAATCAGAAATTCAAGATGGAACTCCAGATATTTATTGGCTAAAAGTGACTGGTTTGGAGTCTATATTGGCTGTTTATGGAACTGGATCAGTTCAGTTTGCTGAAGCTATGAGATTAATTAGACAAATGATTTCTGAGGTAAAGAAAAAAAATTATTTCATGCCTTTATTTTTTCAGTCATTGTTAGCTTTTTATGACTTTTATATAACTTTATTGATTTAATTTCTTCCAAGTTCTTTTTGTATAAAAATTTTAAACTATGTTTTTTTTTCTTTTTTTTTTTAATGTTTGATATAAAACATTAATATGGCCCTTACATGGAGTATCACACATATCTTGAAACTAATTTAATATGAATACATTTATAAAACTCTACAATAATTATGCAAAGTACTCATCAGAGTTTGAAGGTGTGAAATGAAGTTTAAAGAATCAAAAACAAGAATGGATTAGTAGAGGATGTCGTCTCCTTTTGATCTATTATTGTCAATGATATGATATACAGGCATGATTGATATGATACATCTTGATTTTATTTAGGGAATAAGAGGATTTAGTGTTTCTGTGGCAATTGGATCCCTTTCTTTTATAGTTTCATTGAATCCAAAATAAATCGTTTTCTAATTAAAATATTATTTTCTTAGTTGCTGATTGATATAAAAAGTTATAATTCTAATGTTTAAAATCTAAACAACTTGCTGTGAATTATTTTAAGCATTAAATTTGAAAATGAAACAACAATAAAAAGTTAACAGCATTAGTTAGCAAATTTCTTGCACTCGAAGTAGTATTTTTCTTATACTCTTTTAATCTTTTTTATTTCATGTCCTCTTTCTCCTTTTATACAGTCTGGTATATCAAAAGAAAGAAATGATGAGGAAAAACATTTATATGAATGTTATATGAATATTTTAATTAAATATTTCCATCTAGAGCTAAAATAAGGCATTTAGATTGTGTCAAATTGGAAAGTTTAATTGAACAAGAAAAAAAAGAGCATACTGTTAACAGTATTAGATTAATAATATTATGCCCAGTTTCAAAGGCCCCTGTGTTGATTTACTACACAATTGAAAAATTTGCTAATTTATCTACAAAACATGCAGTAAAATGTATGTATTCAAATTCTGCATTTGGTAAGTTTGCAAGTTTTATAAATAGCTAGAATTATATATGGTAGGTATGCCTAACACTGCTAAATATGTTTTATACAATACACAATAAAGTAACTGAGCTACTGAAAGAAAGCACCTAATATTTATTAATTGAAGCTTAATGAAGGAGGAAACGTAACTTATAAGGATGGAAAACCATATGTTACTGCAAAAGAAATCAATTTTTATAAACTAACTTAATTTCACCTGCAATTTCTTTAATGTTTACATTTTTTTTTCTTTGTCTTCAAAGCAAAATAAATTTTTGGTGCTTGCTACCATGCTGTGTTAGTTCCGCTATTGGGGTATTATGTGACCATTTTTTTTATTGCTTTTTAACTAACTGTAAAATGAGTCATATATTGCATAATTGATGTACAGAAACATAATATTGCTCGTGTCCATACTTGTAGGTTTTGTTATGTTTTAAAATTTGCTTAATTTTTTTTTCCAGGTGGAGAGAAATATGCGTAATATCTACAGTGATAATGTTGTGGTTGCAGTGATAAAATCAGATAGCATTCCATTGTCCTTATCAGGTCACCAAGGCAGAAAACTTTTGGAAGTTACTACTGAGGTACTAAATTAATATATTTCATGTATTAAAAATGTGTTTCTTAAGGTATCTTAATCAATGCTTCATAAAATGATACTACTGTAACAGTTATTCTATATTTCATTTTAAAGGATCCTCTTTAATTTTACGAATTTCCCAAATCCAATTTAGGTAACACAGTGAAAGTTAAAAGTTTTATAGTATTAATAGTATAATAATGAAACTTAAATATGTATTTGAACTTTTCCATTATTTAAACTAAATATGATTTTAGGAATCAGCTACTTAATTTTTTTTTACTGTAAAATGATTTTGACGGGGCTTACAAAATTTTTCTACTGAATAAACTTATGTGTTAATAGTACTTATACTTATTACAAATTTTCTTTAATAGACAAATGCAGAACCTAGTATTTTATTTGCATCCTAATGGACTAAAAATCTGCCACCCAGAATTTTATACTTTGGAATTTTTAGGGATAAATGTTTTCTAACTTTATTCTACTTAGTTACAGAAGGATATGATTAATTAATTTAGTGAATTTGTAGTACAGGAAAACTGAGATACTTCTTGCAAGTCTTCTGTTTTTTGATGAAGACTCCTGTATTTTACAACTATCTCCTGTTTACCCATATATTCTTAAATTTCTCCGTATTTTTTTAGGAAATTTAAAAATAAAAAATTTGGCCATAAAATATCCGCTCATTGCAAAAATACTTCTCTTATTCCTCAACAGATGGTGCTACTGCCTGTACTGCAATATATTGAGTGTTTATAGTTTAAGTAATTATTAATAATGGTTTAAAAAAGTCTTTAGATTAAGATTTATGTTTACATATTTTTTAGTTGACTATATGTAAGTGCTTATATTATTTCCAGTTTTGAATTTCTCTTTTTAACTTACATAACTATGCAATATGTAACAAAACTTTACTCACAACCTATATTATGACGCTAGTAAAATCTCTGTTATTTTTTTTCTCCGATGTTGGCAGGTATGGAGATATAAAAAATAATTTACATGCTTTGTTAAATGCTAACACATTTTTATAATATAAGACAAGAAATCTTCTTTTGAAACAATTACTATTGATTATCATTTTTGATTTTTAGCCTGTATAAAATTTAACTTCATTTTATGTATTGATGAAAAAAAAATGGTCTCAGAGACTATTCCTGGGTATTCTGCCATAAGTGAGTGAAATATCAATAAAATTAACAATTTTCACATTTCCATCTTTTTTTATCTTTTAAATTAAAATACTTTATTGAGATTTTCAAAAATAATTTTATTAATCTCAATGAACGTGAAATTATTAAAGCATTGTATCAATTGTACTGAACGGAATATTTCCAGCATTCTTATTGTCTTGTTGTTCAATTTTATCTATAATTTTTTCCCTCTTTTAATTTAACTCGATTTGCAACTTTATTTAAAGAGCTTGTTATTTAGTGCTGCCATCTTGTGTGCTATGTATCTAAATATTTATAGGTTTCAGAAATACTTAATTTTTCAATTCTTTCTACATCCCAATTATATGTTTATTTAAATAATGCTTAGTCTAAAACATTCTATATATTATTATTCATTGCATATTGATAAAAAAAATATAATGGTTTCAGGGACTAATTCCAAGTATTCGGCAATAATGAGTATTCTGCAATAACATTAACAGTTATCACCTTTCTTTCTTTTTTTTTTAATTTTTTATGTAAAAATTCTCTATTGAATTTTTTAAAAGGTAATTTTATTTGTCTCAAAAATCATGAAATTATTATTAAAACATTGCATCAATTGCACTAAATGAAATATTTCCAGCATTCTTATTATCTTGTTTTTCAAATTTATCTATAATTTTTTTTTTTTCCTCTTTAATTTTACTCCATATGCAACTTCATTCAAAAAGCTTGCTATTTAGTGCTGCCATCTTGTGTACTATGTATCTAAGTATTTATAAGTTTCGGAATTACTTAGTTTTCTCAATTCTTTCTATGTCCCAATTATGTATTTGCTTGAGTGATACTTAATCTGAAACATTCTATTTATTACTCTACTAATTTGTCATGTTGAAAATTTTTAATAAAAAAAATCCATAAATAAAATAGATAATTTTATTTGATCCAAAGCATAATAAATAAAAAATTACCTCAATAAATTCAAATTGTATACATTTGTTAGTTTTTGTACTTTGTTGCAGAAATTATCTTAGGAATGTAATGAGTGTTTAAAAAGTTGATTTAACTAATAATTTATAATTATTCTAGTAAATAATTTGCTATATCAGAATTATCAACCTAAGAAAATGTCATTTTATGTCATTTCTAAGGCCTCTTATCTATTCTAATGTATGTTTTTATGTAAGTCCTTAACATACGTGAAACAAATGTTTGTTTTGTTCATTTTTTGAGCACATTTTCAAAGGGAGTTTAAGTGAGAAACTGCAATAGATTATACCTATAGAAATCTAAGTTTTAACATGAAAAGTTGTGATTTGAAAGAAATTTCTTAACTGTTTGCACTTTAATTGAATATCAGCATCTACAGTATCGTTTTTTAATTTAAAAAATTATCAAAACAATTTTTAAAACAAAACTTATTTGATTTAAAAATGCTGTGTTTACAAAACGTTAACTTTTCCCTAATATTACCTCAAATTCTTCACTTGTAGAAAGTGATAAAATCTCTGGAAAGCTTGGAATTGTGAATGCATTTTATTTTGCCACGAGCAGTAGTCAAATGTTGAATTTTTTTCTGTAAAAAAATGCAAAATTTTGCTATATACCTGAAAATCAATCTTAAAATCCGTAGTAACAATATGCAATGTGATTCAAAATAAATAATTTTAACATCTATGACAATTATTTCTTCTAATTACAATGAAAAAAGAATGTATTTGAAAGAGTTCCTTAAGCACTTAGAATTAAGAGTTCAAGGACTATAGTCACTTGAGGGAACACATAGAAATCAGTTCAAAGATTTCGACCTTTTGGAACCAAAGTTGGTCATGCCTTTTGTAAGGCCTTATACAAAGCTCCTTCAGTGCCTCACGATATCTGCCTTACTTTATCTAACTATATAAGATATTTGTTTTTACTATTTTTTCACTAAGAATTTTTAAGCCTTTATCTTCAAGGACAATGCCATAAATCACACATATTTTTTTATTTTATTCTAAATTTGAGCATTTATGAGGATCAACAGACTTATGAACGATTTGCACATTAAATATTTATATATATACAAATATATATGCGTTGTATATAATATAAAGTGGACTGTATTGTCTTGATTATACATTGATCAAACAAAAATTAATAGAATAGATAAAATATATGCATGAAGAATGGAAATATACAATAAGAAGTATCTTATGAGAGAGCTTGCGAAGGTAGCCTTCTTTTTTTAAAGTTCTTCAAGTGAAGATGCTTGATTTTCTGACACTGATGCAATGTAGAGTGGGGATGCGATTAGGGTAAAACGTGTAAGTGTACATTATATATATATATGTATAAAGACATTTTATCAAAGATTATTTACTTAAACTGTAAAAAATGTTTTTTTAGAAAGCATTCTCAGAATGAATTTACATTATGCCTACATATTTGTCGTCAACAAATAATGAATTTTGTAATAACTTAATAAACCATCGATTGGTATTGGTATAAACTATGCTTTCAAGGGATCATTTCAGGTTATTCAAATACTTCCTTTTTCATTCCAAAAAAAGTTAGTTGGGGACAAAAGTTACTATTTTACAAAATATGCAAATTGCATAATTATCTTAGTAACTGGATTTAAAAAAATTAAAAAAAAATGTTGGACTAATTTTAACATATGGGTTGTAAAGTAGAGCATGTGTGAGCTCTACTTTACAAAGTAAGGTAAAACAACGTCTAAGAGCACAAAAAATTTAAGAAAACCGACAGCTGTTTTGGATGCTCAAAGGGCAACCTTCATCAGTGCAACAGAGAGAAATAAGAGAAAACAGGGTAAATATATATAGAAAGATGACGTCACAAGTGTGTTTGGAGCAACGGCCAATAGGAGGGAAGGGTGAGTGGATGACGACGAATAGGGAGCAAGGAACAAAAAAAGGGGGGGTTAGTTAGGTTTAATCATAGATTTCCAAACAGGAGAAAGATAAGGAACGCTAGATAGGTCATTGACCAACAGTTTGGAATTTTTGAAAATATGAAAAGACTCGTAAAAATCAAAATCAAATATTGAAGAACAATGAAGGAGTTGATGAAGGTTGATGCACTGATGAAGGTTGCCCTTTGAGCATCCGAAACAGCTGTCTGCTTTCTTAAATTTTTTGTGCTCTTAAACGTTGTTTTACCTTACACACCAGTCACACCACAAAGGTCGCCCTTATGTGTATTTTGGGCTCTACTTTATTTTAATACATTTTTCGGGGTGTGTAAAACCTTTTGTAATTAATAAAGGGCATTTTACTTTACTTAAATTAGAATTTATTTACACTATTTATGCAATGTGTGCATATTTATTTTAACATTTTGTTATTTAATATTTCTACTTTGCCTTAAATTTGAAACACCAAAGTAATACACTCTCTTTTACAAAAAAAAAAATACAAAAAATAATTAGATATTAGTGTGTGGCCCTTTTTACTCAAGGATGTCTTTGCATGGGGTGAGGTGAAGATAAATGAAGAGAATGTTTAAAACAAGGCCCTCACGGTGAGATTCTCAGGGTTATTCATATATTTCTTATTTAATATCTTTTCCAAGACTGGTATAGTGTTTACAGGGACCCCTTTTTTAATTTTAANTTACTTAAATTGGAATTTATTTACACTATTCATGCAATGTGTGCATATTTATTTTAACATTTTGTTATTTAATACTTCTACTTTGCCTTAAATTTGAAACACCAAAGTAATACACTCTCTTTTACAAAAAAAAAAATACAAAAAATAATTAGATATTAGTGTGTGGCCCTTTTTACTCAAGGATGTCTTTGCATGGGGTGAGGTGAAGATAAATGAAGAGAATGTTT